AAAAAAAAACAAAAAACAAGAAATTGATCTTTGGCGTCTTTCATACCCTAGAGAATACCACAGATAGTCACTTTGATCAGCTGTGGTATTTATTTGTTCCAACAATCCAGCTTTTGAGAATGCATTATTACTGGATATGCCTACAGGTTCATTGATCCAACTCCAACCCGAGAAGGACCCATCATCAGTAGCTGCAGTTTTGTCTTTTAAAGGTTGACGAACGAAATTTGCAGTGGTGGAAACTGAGTTAATCTGTCATTTGCTGATATATCAGCTTAGGCAGTGACTAGTAGCAGCAAAATTATGGACTCAAGAATAAATAACCTTTAAATCCATCCAATGATTACAGTAGCAGCACTTTAAAGTAAATCTTACACATCAAATGTAGTAAAATAAGATTTAGGAATTTTGGTTTATTGGGTGATTATTATTGCTTAATAGAGAAATGAGACGTGAAACCCGAAATTGTAAACCTCATGAAAATTCAGTAAGTGAGGTGGTAAAAGCAATATATTTATTATAATGGAGCTTGTCTTCATGCCTTTTACTGTCTGAAATTTTAAAGTTTGAGAAAATGCATAATAAAGGTCTGTGATGTGTACTTTTGCAGTGTTGAGTACGACATTCTTGCAGTCAGGCAAGATACTGACAGACCAAGCCGGCAAGTTATAGGAATTTCCATTGAAATTTACGGTTGCATCAGACCCTGTGCCCGAATTTGCTAGAAATGCAGCACATTTTCCCGAATCAGTATTATATACCGTCGCCTGAAAAGAGGAATCATTTCTGATGATGAAAAGGAAAAAATCTCGAGCATCCTCAAAGAGTGTAATATTAAATTGGTACTATAACTTGTCAATCAACCTAGAGGAAAGGAAGTTCACCAACAAAAATAAAGGGACACCAAATCCAGGTCCAGGACTCAATTTTCATCACATTTTATCTTTCTCTTTTTTTTTTTTTTTCAATCAATTAAAATATGTGGAGATGATTCTCATTTTCAAGATATCAGAAAAGAGCCTTCTAGCCACAGCCACCATTCTTATTAACAATTTTCAAACTCCGAATGCACTCGTTCAAGAACGATTGATGACTTCAATGCAATAAAACTGAAGTTAGCATGGAATTAGAGAATCCCTTTCACTACAATTGTTCTGTGGAACTTTGAAAGGCGATAATGAAAATTCACGAGCCATTGTTCTCTCAAATAAAATTTTGGGAATAAGTCGAGCTGAGGCTTTAATTTGTATTTTTCAAATAGGAGAAGCTGATATGCCGTTATACCTCCAAATTTGAACCGAGGGAAGTGGTTTTGGGATCGGTTGCCACCATTGCATCTTCACATAGTTTGATAGCCTTGTGTACATCTTTCAAGTGACCCCATTTAGGCTGATTCAGAAGCCCTAAAATAGAAAATAAATCAGGATAAATCATCATTTCCAAAAACGAAAAAAATACATAAGAAAAAAAAAAAGAAAGAAAAGAGGCCAAATCAATCTGTCTTCACATTTGCAACGAAAGCATTACATACCATACTCATCAATTGGAGCATCATAATCATAGGATGTGGAAATAAAAGGGCCACCAGAAGTGCGGCCAAAGTTAGTTCCACCGTGGTACTGTACCAAACCGTAAATAAACTTAAGCTGGGAAAATATCATTTCATGAAATGTAAGTAAAGCACTGGCAACGACACCACAGGAGAAAATTACCATGTAATAGTTCTGGAAAGTTCCAGCGAGCTGGTAAAACCGTGCGACAGCAAAAGCAAGATCTTGCACAGGTCTGTACGGCACAGCATCACCAAATGAAGAGAACCTATAACATCACATACAAATGAAAACTCAATATGTGTATTCACCTCTGTAAACTATCCACATATTTTTTTAAATAACCTCCTCTTCAGGTGCAATCATATTAATAGAAAAAAAATAAAAGAAAAAAAAAAAGAAAAACAGAAACACAAATGCCGAAACGGGATTTGTAATTCTGTGAGACGTCACTACTCAGGAAAAAGGCGAATGGACTCATTTTCCAATTAACATTAAACATTATAAGCAACAAGTGGAAATCCCAGTTTTGTAATTCAATTCTCGTTTTAGTAATTGCCATCAAACAATATAAGTAAATAAGAAATACTAATATCTTATACCAGCCAGTCCAGTTCTCTGTCCATATTTTCGGCGTGTTCTTAGATTGTGGAGTGTATTGGTCACAATAAAACCCGTTGCATGTTTCGAGCTGTAAAGTTATCCAAAAATGACAGACTATATAAACTTTCCCATTTTTAACTGAAAAACAACACGAACTTGTAAGAAAGCCGGCAGCAAGAACTCACAATAGGATAAGGGGCATCTTTTTGCTGGCACATAACCCACGGCACCCCCGTGTTTAATGAGGTAGCCATCGATGCTGCCCACTTTACGTATGCTTTCCCATCAGCACCATACGAACCTTCCACATTACCATACTCGTTTTCTATCTGCATTTTGGAAACAAAAAAACAAATATCCTTGAGCTACGATTCTGCTAACTAAAAAAAAAATGCAATTTTGTCGATAATGCGTGTTTTTATCTTCTTTATCCAGTCGTGTACCTGTGATAAAATTATGGGTCCACCTTGGGATGCATATAAGTTTTCTTGCTTCATCATGTCGACTATCTTGGCCGTAAATTTCTTCATTTCAGCCTGATAAAAAAGCCCCCCATATCGTCATATGTCAAGTTTTTCTATTGTAAAAGCTAGCTAATAATTAAGGGAAATACTACTGTCCCGTTACGGAATCACTCCGTCGGGATTTGTAACCGTTAGATCATCGTTTAACCGTCGGGATAGTTGATCTAACGGTTACGAACCCCGACGGAATGGTTCCGTATCGGGACCAGAGTTAAAACCAAAAGAAAAAAAAACCTTGAAGGGCTCATTATCAGTTCGAAACACAATTCCTGGTATAAAATGCAGCCACAGAGGAAATCCACTGTCCAAAAAAGGTCAAAAAAAAGATAAATAAATGCACAATTAGCTACACAACAATGGATTCATAATTAATTTCCATTTCAGGAAGCTCCTAACCAAAAAAATCGATGAAAAAAAAAAAA